TTCTCATTGAATTAAGAGAAAATAGCTGTATATCTATCTTAACTATTCTGTATATACAAATACAAAATGGTCCGTCCTTTGTATCCCTTTTTTGTTTAGTCCTGTCAGAGATGGGTATTCTATTGGCATCTAAATATTATAGGTGCTTGAATTCAGCAAAACAATCCAACACAGTTCAGCAGTTCACAATAGTAGTGGGTTATCCGCAGAAGTTGTTGACTTGAGCCTTTTACAGCTCAGCATATTAATATGGCTTTACTTTATATACCTTGTTTTTATACTTTTCTGCTGCATGGTTAAGACCAAGATGAAGCAAGACCTATATAACAAGAAACGTAACTTTTGTATCTGATAAGGTCAGTCAAATCCCCTCAGGATTTATCCTGTAACCCTGTACTGTACTTTGTAGATCCTTTGTCAGTGTCAGCCATGTGGATGAGTCACGGCCATTGCTTGGCCAATTTGCTTTCTGTGAAAGCCTGAGAGAAATTTTTCTCTCCATGTGACTCTCCCCAGGCACACTATACATCATCGATCACATTCCTCTGTGGCCTCATAGTCTCCTTGATCAGAAAATTTGGGGCACAGCTTAGTTACACGATATTACAGTACAGGTTTGCCTATGTCCTGAGTTTTCACTAACCTTGAAAGGCTAGGGCCAAAATGTTGGCTGACCTTGCAGCACTTCCTTTTCTCCAATTTTTTTTTAAAAATTTTGTTTATTTGTGTGTGTGTGTGTGTGTGTGTGTGTGGCCAGCTCAGCCCACCAGGGGGCGGGGCTGGCTGGCATGTGGTGCTGGGGGATTGAACCACAGTCCCTGTGCATTGCTAAGCTTGTTCTAAGTAGGTGCTTTAGACCACTGAGCCATCTCACCAGCCCTCCTTTTCTCCAATTTTTGATCTGCAAACATAGGTTGTCAACCCTCCAGAAGAGAAGTGTATTACCCTGCCACATATGCAGTTCAGTTTACCCTATCTCTCTAAATATCAAACATCTTAGGCATGACGTGGAACAGGTAATTTCCATCAAGTATTGATGATACACCTAGTTGAAATGTATATAAAAGTTCCAAACAAGAGAGAGGGGAAGGGGAAAGGAAAGAGGGAAAAAGTAAAAAGAAAGAGAAGAGAGAAAGAAAAGGAAAATATGGAAACAAAGCTTTGTAAATGGGGAGGGAGTGAAACAAGTTATGTACAAGTACAAATTCTCAATGAGGAATGTGATCCTTATATATATCTAAAATGTACCAAAAATAAAAAATAAAACAGTATCAATAAAATATAATTTGGGGCTGGGGAGATGGCTCAGTCGGATAAGCGCTTGACTGGCAAACGCAAGGATCTGAGTTCAATCCCCGGTTCTGCCAAAAAAATAAATAAAAA